GGTTAGCAAGATACATGCAAGAATTTATTAGCTGAAGCTTCATTAAAAAATAAAATTTTTCTTTAAAATTTTGTGTAGTTTATTTGGGCCAATCAAATTTGTTTTTTTGCATGATAAAATCAAAATATGATCAATGAAAATCATTACCAATTATAAGGATGTCCATTATGCTATGTATAACTAGATCTAGCAAATATTGGATGATCTGTTGCTGTAAATGGTTTTAGAAACACTATCTCAAGTATTTCAAATTTTTCATTGGAATCAAATTGTAAATGTGATTGGTTAACAATTGCAGAAAAATCTCAAATTTTTAATCTAGTTTCTATGGATTGTGAAGATAGTGACATTCAATATATTTTGGACTTATTGAGATACATGTAAAAACTGTTCATAAAATTATGAATGTTATTGATAAATATTAAATTTATTTTCTAATAAAAATCTGTGATTAGTGTTGAAATGATAGATAAAGGCATACCTAACAGGCAGAATTCAGAATGTGATCTAGACATTTTTTTCAATGTACATGTGTACAAATGTATATCAAGTTATATGGATTCACATTAGTAACTTCTTTATCTGAAAATCATGACCATTAATAATAAATCATATATTATTTTTTATCAGTGGTGAAGCTCAATCAAGAGCATCAAAATTTAGTAAAGAATTATCATCATCTATACCTACACATTCCACACCCTCTACTTCTAAAAAACATAAAATTCATGGTGTTAGTTGTGACTGGTTATTTAGTGTAAGTAAAAGTAATTCTCAAAATATTTAAAACTAATTGACTAATTTGTTGATTTTAAATGAAATTTAGTTTCATGCACTTGGTACTGATTTGAAATGGGGTTGTGAGTTTTCTGCTGCTGCAAATGTAGGGGCAAAAACAGATAATCCAAAAATGGGTGGTGATGGAGTATGGTTACAAGTCCTTCTTCATGACATACACCTGTCATTATCAAGAAACATCTTAAATGTCAGAAAAAATCAACACAATGCTGCTGTACAGCTATTAAATAAAATTCCATGTCTTGGTATTATTTCAACAAAGTTTAGTTATAGAATTTTATGTGTTAATTACTAGTGATGTTAGCCAGCTAATAATCTGCATGCATAATTTCTAAATTTGGTAATAGATTTCTGCGTTACCTTCTTGTTATAGAAATAAAATTACCAATTTAGGTAGTAAAGGCTTAGCTGGCTAAGGATTTTTAAATGGCTAACATCACTATTAATTACATTACAAATGGTTGGTATGGTTGTGTAGAAATTGATCGATTTCAAGCACCTGTTACCTTCTGTTCAATGTTTCCATCTACTTTTATTAAAATGGCTAAGAACATGTTGCAATTATATGTAAGTGTGATACAGATTTAGTTGTTGTCAAATGAATAAATTTTTTACTTGCTTTTTAACTCACTTTTATATTATATTTGTAGAATCTCATCAAATTGACTGTAGATAATTATAATGAACTGATTGATGCAGAAAGAGCAGGCAGTATTAAATAATAATTATAGTATTAACTGGATGTTACCAGACACCTAAATTGGTATAAATTTATATGTGTTACATGCAAATTTTCATAAATGATTTTATTTTGCTACAAATTATATATAATAGAGGTTGGAACTGGTTAATCAATTAACTGGTTAAAGTATTTTGTTAACCAGTTAGAAACAGTTAAAATGTAGATCACCCTTAAATTAGTTAATTTTAATTTCCAATTAGTATCTTTTGTTTTATAATAAAGAATGGCTGATAATGAAATAAATGATGGTTTTTCAGGATTTTTTGACTTTAGAGATAATGAAGAGTCTTCATTTGAATCACAATCAGTCATATCTTCTTCAATTTCTTTTTTAGAATCACCTATTAATAGTCAACAAATCAAAAAACCAAAATTATCAAAAAATCAAAGCTTTGTATGGAAATATTTTAAAAAAATTGAGAATGAAAAAGCACAATGTATAATTCCTATAATAAAAAATGGAAAAGAAGAACCATGCAATGCATCTTATAAATTCACAGGTTCTACATCAAACATGAAATACCATTTGAATGTAATGCATAATAAGAGAACCTCTCTATGAAGCAATTAATATTATTAGTAATAGTGGATATGTATTTTATTTACATCTGCAGTATGTGACTGCAATATGATTTTTTTTTATTTTTATGTTGTTATTTCAGTAACATTTTTTATATATCAATAAAGTAAGGTTCTATGTCTTGATCAGAATTATGTGGATGTCCATGCTTTATTTTCATCAAAATCACATGCATTCCAATTTGGAACAGAGATCACTTTGCTAGAAGAAAAAAATTGAATGTGTCTCAATACTTTGATATAATACATCATTATACATAGCATCAGGAAATTTTTCTGACACGGATTTACGTAATTATTACACTATTTACATAAGTTTACAGCAGGCCTGTAATATTATGCAAATAAGCATACAAAATTATGCAATTATTACATCAAGTGTAAATATTACATAATTTATATGCAAATATTACAACTTACATATTAAAATTTATGGATGTAATATTGTGGCGGGGAAAATTTCCTGATGTAAGATATTAATATGTCTTGCAAATCTAGAAATAACAGACGAAAAACTCAGGGTAGATTCACTACAAATCCTACAAATATCAAAATCTGAATAAGCATGTGCATGTCATTGACAAAGGCCACTAGGGTTATAATCAATATAGACAAATAATATCAATTAAAGAGAGTATTCTCATCAGATCTAGTAAGGACAATAAATATGTATAGCAATTAATTTAGTTTTTTTTAGTGCATGTATCACCAGTTTGTGAAAAATTTGCTGGCCAAGGTAAGGAAAAATTCACAAAAAGTAGACATGGTTGTTTAATCATCTACAACTGTACTTTTTTCTAACTGTAAAATTAATAACATCTTTTGCAAATTTTGTTACATTTTATTGTGTACATAGTTGAATAATTGCCATATTAATCTATTCTTCCTACTCGTGCTCTGGTATGAAGACAGAAGTGACAATATTGTTACTTATTTTTTTTCCTTCTATTAATTTTCTTCATTTTACCATGTCATCAATCATGGTTATAATCTTGATTCATAAAATTTAAGTGTTCACATAAATTGATGAACTTATCAGTTGAATGATGAAGGTCATCAATTATGATTGGTAACTAAGGTTTCTGGTCCAAACTGTTTTCTCAAAGCCCAAACTAGTTTGGGCAATTTGGGCAATTTTGACTACTAATAGAAGCAGTTTCAGCCAGAAACCTTATTGGTAACTCAATTGAAAAAATTGGTATCATTTTTCAAAATGGTCCACATCCTCATTCCATAGTATGGACATACATCTTCATGTCTAGTTATAAAAAATAATTAATGTGATATACAATATGCAATAAATATAATAACAATAATAGTTACCATAGAAATGAACTAAAATTATTTTTAAATCATCTAATAACTTAATTATTTGCTTGCTTTCATGAAGATTCAATGTGTTGTTTCCAAACTTTCCCAACTTAGTAATAGATGAATATCATGAATATCACTAAGGGGGTTGCACACTATTAAAACAGCAAAAAATCCCTTAAAAACATGAGTTGATCACTTGATTTTAATAGTGTGTGACCCTCTTATGATATTCATGAATACAAACCCTGCTTAGTAAAATCTTCCCCTATGCGATCTTGATTGTCTGGTGAAAATGGTCCATATGATATCTGCACAAATAAAAAGTTGTAGTTGTGATCATAGAAATCATTTCTTATATAAGAGAAATCGATTGGGACCATCACCTTCAGCATTTCTAAATTTAGTCAATTGAGATGACAAGCCATCCACCACATTTCGACATTTGTATTCATAAAAATAAATTCAACAATACCATTCACCAAATTGTGTGAATAGGTTCTCTTGTTTATTGATTGATCTTGATTTTTATATGATGATCCTCTCCAAATTTTCTTTCTATAAAATAATAATAAATATAATTATATAATGATACAGTAAGCTTAACTACTGAATTCTCAAATCGATATCCACTTAAAAAATTGTTTGCCTACATTGTATTCATTAATAAAAATAATTCATGGTAGTAAGATTCCTTGGTTTTTATGACCTCAGGAAATTTTGTCCTTTCATAGATCATGAAGTCCTCTATAAACAATTCTTTATCAGAAGTTAATCTGATTTTTGTTGGTGTGTTCAAAGTTAATTCACAAGTTAATCTTTTTCTGATTAGCATTTTATATATTTTGTTTTGATTTGCTCTTAGTGATTCTTCAAACAAAATACCACTCAAAAGAAGATCATCTGGTTTTAAATCCACTTCATGGATTTTTTTCTGACAATTTCAGGAATATTGGTGTTGGAGAACTATTATTATTAAATGTAAATAAATTTGTTAAAAATCTGAATATCCAAAGTTGAAGAAAAATATTACTATAAATACCGATTTAATTTTATTTTTTATTTCCTATTGGTTGAAATATTTTTCATCTACATTATAGTCATTATAACTATCACTTGTACTACTATCACTATTTCTATTACTATCATCATTGTCACTGTTGCTATTTCCATCATAAAAAAATGATACATTTTTTTCTTCAGCACATCCTTCAATCATTTTTCAATATCTAACATATTGCTTCTTTATATAAAAATCTTTGATTGTGTGATAAAAATTTTTAGATGAAAAAATTTCTTCCGGTTTCTAAAAATAAATTATAAATTTTGACATCAGCCTCATTGTCACAAATTGCCAATTTATCATTTGCCAGTCAATCAGAAATATTGCTAAACCATATAGTGCGAAACCCCACCAAGGGTTGCAAGTATCATATAATATGAAAGCCACACTGTGGGTCACAAACAATTCATCATTTACTGACCAATCAGAAATATTGCTAAATCATATAGTGCGAAACCTCACCAAGGGTCACAAGTATCATATAATGTGAAAATCACACCATGGGTCACAAAAACAATTCACCATTTTACCAGTAAATAAGAAATATTGACAGGTGCTTGCTAATTTGTGTAAAATAAATATTACAATATTTAAATAAAAAATGAACTTACTGTAATATTTTGGTTAAAAAATGTATTGATGATGCGCTCTTTGTTTTTCTTAAATACCAGACTGTCTTTAATTGCTAAATATATATAAAATATATACAAGCTGGATGATAATAAACTAGATTTATTTGAGCTTAATGATTGTTTATATAACTCAAAAAGAGTATGAATTTGACTCATTTTTAAATTAAATTAATGAGTTTTCAAAAAACTAAGGAAAGGTGGAAGTTTTATGGATGTGTAAAAAAGAATGACAAGAAAAGAAACTCATGTTTTTATGTATAAAAAATAATGTTTATGTAAAAAAAAGGTAAGAAACCTTGTTTTTTTAAAAAAAAAATTTTTTTTTGTGATGAGATCTTTTAAATTTTTCTAGCAGATCAGGGTCAGGTGAAATCTTTAGTGTAACTATATATACAAATTTAGAAATTATATATATCTATATAGTAATACAATTAATAATATTTTATTAATGGCAATGGGCCAGACCAAAACTCATTGTCAACCCCGACATAGATAATTATTTTATTATCATACAATGTCAATAATACTGTCAATCATGCTCATTATGATAAAGATGGAGACTGTTAATACCCTTGATAACAAAGTTACAAGCAGAAGATTATCATTTGGTAACAATATTGCTTTTTAGATTATTAATGAAAACAGACAAGAATATTTTTTCTAAAAAAAAGTTTTGAAATTGGGATCAGGTTGAATTGGCAATCTTACTAACAAATAATTTTGGGTTATGTTGAAACTTTGTCTTTTTTAAAGCTATTTTGACAGTACATTGAATTCATAGTGTTTATATTAATTACATGTTATTCATATGGGGCATGCTGCAACAAAACCAGACAAAGTGAACATTGGTATTACCAAAGATTTCAGGGATCAAGAATGTTTGTTTAATATCACAATTGTATTACAATGTAATGTGATCAATGATATTTCTCTAGACAAAAATAGTTAATATGAAACTCATTTATATCAGATCTACTATGGAATTAAGGTTTCTGACTGAAACTGCTTCTATTAGTAGCCGAAATTGCCCAAATACTTTGGGCAAAAATTATTTTTTTATAAGCCCAAACTAC